TTCTCTTGAACAGTTCAGAATATCATTCTACAACTTGAAATTCAAGTTAACGTTCAAATAATAACAAATGTTTTGGATATAATAAATTTTGTTCATAACAGTATGTCATTTAATTTATGATTAAATAATTATCTTTTTCGCATTTTCAACAGGATTTTGAGGCGGAAGTAAAAGAATTAAACCGATTACTAGATCAATACAATCTATTAGTCCCTAGTCATCAAATGCAGCGTTTTCATTTGAATAGTAAGACAGCTATTGATCAACTGATGAAAGCTAAACATTCACAAACGAATGAGCAAAACAAACGTGATCCTACTACAACTCGAAATGAAAGCAAAGACGACGTACCACAAACTGAGGATAACAATCAGAGTTTATGGGATCCCCGCTATATGGCTGAAGTAATGAGCGACTTTTACCGTGAATTAGCTAAGTCATGGGCGAGTATTCTACGAGGCTTTAAAGATCATAAATAACACCTTGTATTACTCTAAAATATTGCTGTTTATGTATATTCATATCAAAGTTAACAGGCATTCTAAATTAACTTATAGTTCAAATAGGCTAAATTAATAAAGCAATCTCTCGTAAAGTAACGAAGAAACATTCGTATGTTTTACACCTTTTTTTCTTATCTACTTTAATCTTTATTTCATTTAAGTAAAAAACCCAGCTGAAACTGATGGTGTACAGAAAATCGTTGACGTGAAATCAATCATAAAAAATTAATACCAACTGCATAGCTAATGACCGTAGATCATGACACATAAAGAACTATCGATTTTTCAATTTTAAGACTGATGCAAAGTTTGTTCAATTCACAGATTTTGCGTTGTTTGACTAGACTGAATCGATGCAATTAAGAAATGATAGAAATCTCATACTTTGAAAATAAAAATCAACTCTTGAGAAAGGAGACGTGTAACTATGAAGTCAAATTAAACTTAAAAGCAAGCACAAATTATAGCAAAGTACAAGTTGTCAAACACTAAAGATGTTCGATTAGATGGTGATTGGAGGTAGTCGACAGGAAACCCTGGACCTGGGTTTCGTGCTACTTGGCACTCGTCAGCAAGGTGTACCTGTAATCTTCGAGGGAACTGGTGCTCCCTGGCGGATCCGATCCCGTGTCACCCAGCTTCACAGTCAGAGACGTTACCACTGAGCTATCCGGGCCGCGACCGACCTCCTGTAGGACTGAGATGTAATCACAATTGATTGATCACTGGGTGAACAATGTCATGCGTGTCTAGTCCTTATTATTAGTGCAGATCGAATGCTATCGATCATGTTGCAATGTGGCCACCAGTCTAGGTGACTCGACACTGCGGGCACTATTGTGAGATTTTCCTGTCGACTACCTCCAATCACCATCTAATCTCACAACAGTGCCCGCAGTGTCGAGTCACCTAGACTGGTGGCCACATTGCAACATGATCGATAGCATTCGATCTGCATTAATAATAAGGACTAGACACGCATGACATTGCTCACCCAGTGATCAATCAATTGTGACTAAAGATGTTCGCCATGGGATTTTAGGTGCAGTATTTGGGGCTGTCAAGAATGATTAGCTATTGAAATTATCATATCAAAAAGCAATATCGATTCCGAGCTTCATTGTATTTAAATATTTTCCTCTTCAAAGAATCAGTATCTCATTTTGTCATTCATAATACGAAAGTTTTCTTATGCAATAATTTCACAAGGTAAGTGCTAGACAGAGTGAAATTGATTTATTCTAAAGATGTAGTTATGATACAGTCATATGAAAGAATGATTGAAATATAAATCTAATAATAATAATAATAATAATAATAATAATAATATACCAATAGAAATTATGTCTCAATTATTATTTTATAAATTAAAGAAAACGGTATAGATGAATAATATCCGGTTGTCAATGTAAGCCGTATCTGAAAATATCCCAAGTTACTGAGATGGATGATACCGGCGATACAACTACATACACGACAAAAACGAACATTTAATCCAGGTGACTAACAATAAACTAATATATGCACAGCTTACCAGAACCTACTGCGCACGTTTACTACTCATTATCTTAGACCAACTATCTGACCTTATGATTGTCACTCATTCTTTACCAGAGTCACCCAACAACTTCAACAGAGCTCCGCTATGAATGTACCTCGGCGACTAAAGCATGATTTGCTTACGACTGTTACAATTTGTGGAGCATAGACTGTCAACTGGGATTCTCTAACCAACTCTAGACTGCGCCCTCCACTCCAACTGTTTTTGATTACTATCCATTCTTTCGATGTCTGCCTCTTCTTCCCGACACAATGAGTTCTTTGGTATTCCTCTTTCCTTTTTCCTTTCAGAATTCCAAATTAGTGCTTGTCACGTGATGCGGTTGAATGATTTCCTCAAGGTATGTCCTATTCACCTCCAGCATCTCTTCTTAATTTCCTCTCCAGCTGGAAGCTGGCTTGTTCTCTTACACAGTAGGTTGTTCCTGATGGTGTCTGGCCAAAGGATATAGATCATATTGTGGAAACAATTGTTCATAGATACATGTATCTTTATAGTGATGATTGTAGTTTTACAAATTTCAGCTCCGTGCAATAGGACTCTTTTGATGTTTACACTGAAAATTCTGACTTTGGTGTTGGCTGACGGTTCTCTTGAGTTTCCGATGTTCGTCAGTTGTAGGAATGCTGTCCTTGCTTTGCCAATGCGTGCCTTCATATCTGCATCAGATCCTTCTTGTTTATCAATGATGCTTCCCAAATACGTAGGACTTCCCACATCTTCCAGAGCTTCTCCATTAAGTGTGATTGGTTTGGTGCAGGCTGTGTCGTATTTCAGGATTTTGCTTTTCTCCTTGTGTATGTTGAGGCCTGTCGATGCAGGAGCTGCTGCTACACTGACTGTCTTCCCCTTCGTTTGTTCTTGTGTATAGAATGGAAGAGCTAGGTGATCTGCAAAATCCGAACCGTTTGGTTGCATCCAAGCTGTTCATTGTATTCCATGCTCCCCGTGAGATGTGGTCTTCATAATCCAGTCAACAACCAGAAGAGAAACGTCGTGAGTAGGCAACCTTGTCTGACATCAGTCTTCATTTGGAATGCATCTGTATTTCGGGCTCACTTGATTCCTAAAGATAAATTTACAAGGTGATTCATCGGTTTCCGAATACCCATATTAGACTTACTTTTTTAATATTTTATACAAGTCCCCAACTGTTAAAATTGACACGTCTTTACGTCATACTTACTTACTTACTTACTTACGCCTGTTACTCCCAATGGAGCATAGGCCGCCGACCAGCATTCTCCAACCCACTCTGTCCTGGGCCTTCTTTTCTAGTTCCATCCAGTTCTTGTTCATTTTTCTGATGTCTATCTCCATTTCTCGGCGTAATGTGTTCGTTGGTCTTTACGTCATGATTATACTTTGTGAAATCTAACTATTCAATTGACAGTTGCTATCTCACGTAATAACCCAACACGTTATCTCTAGAATGTTTTGTATACCCACGATAACTTGTCTTAGCATTAGTCCAGTTAATACTTAACATTATCTATTTCACTTATTTATTCCGTTTTGTTAAACAAGCTCTCTACTCATTAAGCTTCCATATTGGTTAGTAATTCTTGTAAGGGAAATATCATCATTTTGTTTTGCACCATGCAAAGGGTGTAAGTCTGTTTTTCTCACGCCTAAAAAATATATATTGACAGCGTCAAACCTTCATCTTCTGAACTTTACTTTCTTATCCACAAATATCACTATCTCTTTATTCTGTATGCCAGAGGTAAAACTGGTTAATATTAAATCTATTATGCCCACACACAGCGAAATGTCAATACAGTGTAGCCATCAGTATGATCATCTAACACGAAAAACCAAAATTTAACAAACCAAGGCGTCTAATACTCTATCTGATATGCACCGAAGTACTGATTTTTAACGTAGATATATAAGGCAGTTACAAAACTTTACTGTTGAAGTTAACAATAAACCTGACCAGTTAGCGCCAAATAAATCTCAAGGTTTTCAGCTGAAGAAGTGACGAAAAAAGTAATGCCTTCCTGCAATGCTATTGCCTACAATCTCCCTGATTGCACACTGCCCACTAAGCTCAGGGATGTTTGCCTCGGAGATTGTGGTATGTTGAACGTCAAGTGCCACGTCACCTGCCTTAGAAAAGATTATCAGATAAATCTGCACGTCTCATCCTGTCTAAATGTAGCCGTTGTAAATATGCTAAATAATTTATTAGTTCGAGTAAAAATATTAGCACATTGATTCCATTTAAGAACATTAAAGTAACTCTGAACCTAAAACCTCGCCAACTTCTTACAAAACAAACATGAAGAGACAGGGTCAAAAGATCGTGTTATTGCAAAAAAACAACCACGGACAACTTAAAAACCTGTTTACGGAGTAAATTAGCCATGTGATGGCACAATCAACCAAACCTTACTAAGTAAAAAACTATTCCTTCAAGAGACATTACACATGATAACGTGAATGAACTTGAATTCATCACACAGAACACTTCTAAGACACCAAGAAACTCTAGCTCTGTGAATGAGGAATTAACAGACGAAATATAGGACATAAAATAAGAAAATAGGTAAACATCAACCCAACTTCTCCATCTCTTCCATTAAAATTGAACAAACTGTCTCTCTGATATCATGTAACCTGCCCCCAACTTTTCTAATTGGCAAGAAAGATAACAGGCAGAATCGTAATCAACCCTTAAACACGCATACGAATGATGATTACCAAAGTGCTGGTCATATCACTCACCCACTGAGGCGTATAACTGTTAATAAGTATGGTAATGATAGTCCCGCGTTAAATGCTAGGTTAAAAAAAAAACAGTCGCTTTAACTTTACAAAGAACGAGAGATCAGCGCATTACATAATTTACATGGCACCACAAACGTTTTCCCTATGTCATGGGTGAAGTATGTATGACAATGTTTAGGATAAATTATAGTCTGATTACTTACCGAATAAAATTATGCAGCAGAGAGGAATGGAACCGGTAAGTAGAAGTGAACATAGTCACCCTTTGTATGCATAAGACTAGTTAACTTCAAAAAGAATAAAGAGATCATTGCACAAAATAACACATCTATATTTCGCAAAATATTTACAAAATTAAACAGAAATCCAATAAGGATTGAATCGCCATCATCGAGCCTCGAAAACACTCACTAAAATAAAGGAACGTTTAGATCGATTAAACGATAAGAATACAAAAATGTCAGATTGTCTGAAGTTAATGTTTATTTAAACCAAACTCCAAGACAAAAAGATTCATTTTAAACATACTGTAAGTCAAAATTACTGTATTTGAAGGTATTATATGAAGTGACAGAAACACTCAGTTGTTTTGATAAGCGTATTTGTATCGGAAGAACCACGCTTATAAATTGTTTGTCATCAACTATCTTTGGATGCGTTTATACCATCTACAAAGCGTCTACGAATTCTTATGTATCATGACACTGAGAGTGAAATAATTTTCAAGTAAACTGCTAAAATCACAGTATAAAGCAGGAGAACTGATAAATTACATGAAGGTTTGTAAAGGGTAAAGTTACCACTAAGTATTTAATCGAACTCCAAAATTAAATGATAGTGAATGTTTCTAAATACTTGCATGACTAACCCAATTTTCGAAACTGTTATAAATCTTGTCAGAGAATCCAGGAGAATGATATAGGGGGATAAAATCTGGAGGGATACAACCGAAGATCGAAGCGACCAGTGATCTGAACAACAATACTTTGATGTAGCTCGATCGTTTAGTACAAGTTTATGCACCCAGATCTGAGCTACATTATAGGTGAGGGTTCGAATCTGTGACTTATTGGTTGGAAAGCGAGTTCTATAACCAATCAGTCATAACTTAACAAAATGACCAAGATGTGTCATTCCCTTAAAATATTTGATTAATTGTCCTTCATTCGTTTGACCAACATAATTTTTAACCCTAGATTGTTACGAATTATAACAACGTTAATTTCTTCATTTTTCGGGTAAACAATCTTGTGCATAGTGCCCGTTACTTAACGTGAAGATGAAGATCAAATTCAAAAATACATTTCCAGAAAATGTAAATAAACTATTGACGTAGAAGGGGGCTCTAAACTACTGTGATCTATGTGACAGACAGATGTACAAATTAAAAGCATTACATAAAAGTTCATTAGCTTATGCTGTCACAATGTACAACAGCACACAACAGGAAAACAAACAAAAACAATAAGTCATTAAAATCAAAATTTCACATGAGTTGACAGTGGGAATTAAGTCATAGGTTATACAATTTAAAGGACTAAGAGTGAATAGACCTCTACCATTCTAGTCTACTGTGAGCTATTATAGCACTTAGGGTCTAACCAATGATTTTCATCATAAAGCGAGCGTTTCAAAAGTCTGGGTCTATGCGTTTAAATCAACCGTTAGTAAATTTACGAGGTGATATTACGTTGTTGTTGGGGGTGCAGATCCACAACATTGTTAACTGATTTGTCTTTTTTGTCTAAAACACTGTGCCTAGCTTCAACACTGCTAACTCAGTTATCCTGGGTTCAAAAGCTAAGACAAGATAAGTAATGAGTGCATTTGAGCCGATATGGAGCCATGTAATTTTCCTTCAAAATACAGACAATGATCATTTGCAAATCCTAACCGGAAGGTTTATTGTGTAGTGCAACTTACTAAACACGTTTATCAACTTGTTTTGAATCGCTCTATTTTGTATGTGCGTCGGTAATACTGCCGTCTAACCTACGGCTCAATGGTTGGAACTCAAAAACTGTAACTGTAATTACTCATTACATTATTTAGACAAATAGTCAATGGTCTCATAGAGTGATTATACATGGTCTGACTACTCTTCACACTTTACTAATATAAAAAAATGCTGACATGAAACTGTTATGAAATTTTGTCAGACGTAAGATAATATTTGGGACTATTGAGAAGTGTTTCATACAAAAAGTTGGTAGAGAAAGGGCTTCTACTTGACTTACTTCGTTTTGACCGTTTCTTGTATAAAACTCTGTGTCCACACTCAAGACAGCGAACAAGTTCTCTGGGTCGAATTTCATTTTCAGCCCGACATTCTATAATTAATTAGACCAACACATACAAGCCATCATCAAAGATAATACAAACAATTTGGCATGGATATCGAAAAAAATGCACATTATAATTCTAAAAATAGAGCAAGCATTCTAGTGAAACTGTTTTCGATGACCAGGTTTTCAAAGCTATAAACTCATATCCATATGGAATATTGAGGTGAAAAAGTTTTAGATATTTGGTATGCCAGTGTGTAGTGAGTTCATTGGATACAATTCATATTAATAGATAAAATAGATTAGCGAATGAATCATCAAACTGATTCGAAAATAACGGACACCAAACAAACTCAAAGCCAAAGACATAACTAAAATGTGAAAAATTGCGACATGATTCCTGAAGTAGGTTAATAAAAATTAGTTGAATGAATAATTTCACTTATTATATTATTATGGTGTTATGTCGGGATGCAATAAACTGGTAACAAAATCAACAAAACAAAACGTGGAGGAAAATACACCCTTCAGTAGATTTGGTTTAATTTTATAAATGATTTTGAATGATAGATCGAATAATTCGTCTTTGTCGTCAATCAAATGTTTCAGAATAAATTGTGTACTTCCACATGATTTCTCAATGAGCTACACTGGTAAGTGCTCTTTTACTCGTAAGAAAAGGGTCCTTATGTAATTTTTCAAAGTTCCACTGTTTACAAAGGATTATATTTGCATAGGATGAAGTCCAACTGACGAAATTCAGTGAACAAAAGGATAATATCCCAAGTGTGGTTGCATATTTTTAAAGTGAATCTTTTGTAACAGCTTTGCGTCGTACATTGCTAGATGTATCTGAGAAATTTTAATTATTGTACATTTTTATTGACTGCAAAATTATAAACGATAGAGAATACTCTGATTCCTCAATACTAGTTGTTGGTATCAAGACATCAGCGATGATTAAGTTCCATGGAAGTAGTGTTGCTCCCAAAGTTTAAATTTACCCATCCTCTGCTATAGGTGTTTATTTGCAACCGATTGGCGGCTTAGAGTAACTTTAGGGTTCAAGTTTTGTTTATCAAATGCGGTGAATGGTATCATCCTAAAGTTTTCCCATGTTTATCAGAAACTACATACCGGTTATTCTATCGGTAGCATGCGTGAGACGACTACCTTGAGGGTTTTGACCAGCGACTACAGTCAGTTATGTTGTTTCTCTGGCTCTTAAAACCAAACTGAGTGACATGTAGTGTCTAACACTAGCGCTAGTTTTGCATCTTAATTTCCTCTTAAAGTTTGAACGCGACGTTCTGTTTAGTCGTACTTGTGCCACGTATTTTACTAACGTATTAACCATTCCCTTCAACTCTTTAAGTTGGTTGTTTGATGTGACAGTATTGGAGCTACTGTTAGCGCTTTCAAACATTCGTACATCCTGTCAGTGATTACTGGGAGCCTGTCCAGATTGACTTCTTGTTCACTAAACATTGAAATCTGCTGGATGTTTCGGAGGAGACTCAGCCATAATTGATAGAGCAAAGGCAGGTCAACCTATCGATTGCAACTTTTCCATTAGATTCGATGAACATGGCATACTTAGGTGTGACGAAGAAACTAATCAATCCATAGCCAGAGTTTTCTCACAAACGACTAAGAGACATGAACATATGTGTAATTAGGGATATAAAAGTTAATATCTAGTTGCGTGGCAAGTAATCCCTCCAACGTTCAGCGTAAATGTCGCACATTAGACTTCGTCTCAGTATGGAAAGCTTCGGAGTGTCGACTGTTTCTTATAATATTTAGGTCACGTAATTCTTCAACAAAGTTTGTCGCAACCCTTTCAGGCGTTTAGCTTTATCGATTTATTTGTTAGCACATCCAGGATTACATAATAGCGCTACAGATCCCGTCAGAATAGATTTACTGAACTTTCTTAAGGAATATGAATAGTGTTATGGGCCTGAAAACTTAGATAAGAATATGCATTTGTTGCGGCACCTTCGTGACGATGTTCGTGCACATGGACCTTTAGATTGTCTTTCAGCATTCCCATTCGAGTCTTATATGAGAAAAATTAAGAAATCAGTGCATAGCGGGTATGCTGTAGCCAAGCAAGCATCTCAGCGTTATACGATGTCTTTCTGTAATATGCTTCAATCTAGCATTTCGATTGATAGTACAAAACTAACCGGAGAAGTCAGTACAATAATCTTACTAACCTTCTGTAGAGGTGCATTGAAACGCAAAGAAGAGCTTCTTTACATTCCCGTTGACATGGATGTGGTCGAGATTCAGGTGAAAAATTTGTAAATCAACAAAATTAATAGGATCATTTGTTCGTGTTGCAGATGGCCATGATAACCTTAAGACGCTATGCTTTGTCATACGTCATGACACCTGAAGTTGCCAGCCATTTCACACTACCTGGCACTTCATCGAAAAAAACACTTCAGAAGTGAAGGTTTTACGGCTGCATAAGTAAGAATTTTTTTAACTTCAGGAGCATTAACGAATCAGACCCTGTCTCATCCGTTAACGAAAAAAACCTTGCGAAACTGCATGACATCGCGACGCAAGGGTACTTACACGACATGAGGCAAGATACAAAAGCGTCATTGAAGAAAACAAAGACATGTAAGTACTGATTTGGAGTGATAACCACTTTCTACTGTCCTATTGGAAAGTAGACAATTCAGCGACATTTAAAACAGAGCGATATAAAGGATAAAATCCGCTTTATTTCTCCTCTAACAGACGAAAAGGCAGACATCTAGGTGAGTTTTCTCACTATTTCCCCTTTATTTGCTAATGTATTTCCCCGTTTATCGGTTGTTTAAACAACCGACCCAATTGGGTCCAACTAACTTCCAAGATTTTGAAGATAAGTGTCTAACCCTGTTAAAAACCATCCCTTACCAGCAACAATGCTGTCACGTTTCTGACAATAAGCTAGACACAAAGACCAACAAACAGAGAAATGATAAGTCACTTCCCAAGAAGTAACTCACCTCCGCATATATATGAAACAGTTTTTGACAAGTGAGTTACAGAATTTGCGGCTGGTGTAGCACCACTGCCACTTCTACTCTCCATTTATGGTTCTATCAGCTGTTACCGGAGAGAACTTAAGGTCAGTATAACACCACAAATTTATGACGGTGAGGCGCAACAGTTGTAACTCGCGCCGGATGTGCCAATGGGCAGAAAGTTAAGGTTTGAACCATGACATGACCGTACAGGTACAATAGCCATCCAGAATTCTATGTTTAGTTTCAGGTTTCCTTCGGAAATTGAGCTCCTGGGAACAGCTTTTGTAATATGACGAGTCGGAAATTTGATTAATCATTTGTAAAAGTACATATATATATATATATATATATATATATATATATATATATTAGATGACTTCAATAGCGGTACTATTTTAGAGTAATCCAGGAAATTTGCGGACAAAACATTAAAAGAAATCAGGGAAAGATACAGTGGATGAGAAGATAGGGTTGTGAATGTAGCGCCAAAATGAATCGCCAAAATAAATACTTCAGTCAGCCTACGACATTGATTCTAACCTTACCTTATTTACTGGACATCCTATCTGGAGGCGCTTGGTCACATATTCACATCGGATCGCGAGTAGGTACTCCGTTCTGTACATCCCTTGCAACTGCTAGTCAGCTTAGATCAAACGCTTCTCAAAATAGTGATGCCTTTTCGAAAATATCTTTGAACCCCTTCTTTTCTGGCTTTCGATTTAACTGAGTTGGTATACTATTTAGGTGTTACATGTAAAGGCGTTGTCAAACTCCGAATATCTGCAGCATCTTTAGAGGTGAGATCGAAGTGATCTGCTACCACAGACAGGGAACTGTGAGTATCTTCATTGTTGGAACATTATTTGTCATTTCTTTATTTTCACATATTAAGATATTGTTTTCACACTTTCCGAAATTTTTTTTGCCAACTAGTATATATGATATGAACATATACCTGTGTAGCGGTAAATAATTCCCCAAAATCAAATAGCTCTGTAGGTTTTCGACATTGGATGCTGTCCACAGTTTTAGTGGACTTATCTAGCTGAAGGCGCTCGGTCAAGCATCCGCACCAGATCACGTGTGGGAACGCCGTGTTCAACATCTGCCGCAATCGCTAGCCAGATTAGTGCAAACGATCCTCGATATATTGATAGCTTATCAAACATATCTTCGATCTCCTCACTTCTGTCTTTTGATTTTACTTGGTGGGTGCGCTTCGTATTAGAAGGTGTTACTGGTTAAAGCGTTGTCAAACTCCGAATACCTGTGGCATCTTCACCTGAGCTGTTGCAGATTAGGAATCTTTCAAAGTACGCCTTTCTTGCCAGGCAATTTTGAAGCTTACCAGAACCTACTGCGCACGTTTACTACTCATTATCTTAGACCAACTATCTGACCTTATGATTGTCACTCATTCTTTACCAGAGTCACCCAACAACTTCAACAGAGCTCCGCTATGAATGTACCTCGGCGACTAAAGCATGATTTGCTTACGACTGTTACAATTTGTGGAGCATAGACTGTCAACTGGGATTCTCTAACCAACTCTAGACTGCGCCCTCCACTCCAACTGTTTTTGATTACTATCCATTCTTTCGATGTCTGCCTCTTCTTCCCGACACAATGAGTTCTTTGGTATTCCTCTTTCCTTTTTCCTTTCAGAATTCCAAATTAGTGCTTGTCACGTGATGCGGTTGAATGATTTCCTCAAGGTATGTCCTATTCACCTCTAGCATCTCTTCTTAATTTCCTCTCCAGCTGGAAGCTGGCTTGTTCTCTTACACAGTAGGTTGTTCCTGATGGTGTCTGGCCAAAGGATATAGATCATATTGTGGAAACAATTGTTCATAGATACATGTATCTTTATAGTGATGATTGTAGTTTTACAAATTTCAGCTCCGTGCAATAGGACTCTTTTGATGTTTACACTGAAAATTCTGACTTTGGTGTTGGCTGACGGTTCTCTTGAGTTTCCGATGTTCGTCAGTTGTAGGAATGCTGTCCTTGCTTTGCCAATGCGTGCCTTCATATCTGCATCAGATCCTTCTTGTTTATCAATGATGCTTCCCAAATACGTAGGACTTCCCACATCTTCCAGAGCTTCTCCATTAAGTGTGATTGGTTTGGTGCAGGCTGTGTCGTATTTCAGGATTTTGCTTTTCTCCTTGTGTATGTTGAGGCCTGTCGATGCAGGAGCTGCTGCTACACTGACTGTCTTCCCCTTCGTTTGTTCTTGTGTATAGAATGGAAGAGCTAGGTGATCTGCAAAATCCGAACCGTTTGGTTGCATCCAAGCTGTTCATTGTATTCCATGCTCCCCGTGAGATGTGGTCTTCATAATCCAGTCAACAACCAGAAGAGAAACGTCGTGAGTAGGCAACCTTGTCTGACATCAGTCTTCATTTGGAATGCATCTGTATTTCGGGCTCACTTGATTCCTAAAGATAAATTTACAAGGTGATTTATCGGTTTCCGAATACCCATATTAGACTTACTTTTTTAATATTTTATACAAGTCCCCAACTGTTAAAATTGACACGTCTTTACGTCATACTTACTTACTTACTTACTTACGCCTGTTACTCCCAATGGAGCATAGGCCGCCGACCAGCATTCTCCAACCCACTCTGTCCTGGGCCTTCTTTTCTAGTTCCATCCAGTTCTTGTTCATTTTTCTGATGTCTATCTCCATTTCTCGGCGTAATGTGTTCGTTGGTCTTTACGTCATGATTATACTTTGTGAAATCTAACTATTCAATTGACAGTTGCTATCTCACGTAATAACCCAACACGTTATCTCTAGAATGTTTTGTATACCCACGATAACTTGTCTTAGCATTAGTCCAGTTAATACTTAACATTATCTATTTCACTTATTTATTCCGTTTTGTTAAACAAGCTCTCTACTCATTAAGCTTCCATATTGGTTAGTAATTCTTGTAAGGGAAATATCATCATTTTGTTTTGCACCATGCAAAGGGTGTAAGTCTGTTTTTCTCACGCCTAAAAAATATATATTGACAGCGTCAAACCTTCATCTTCTGAACTTTACTTTCTTATCCACAAATATCACTATCTCTTTATTCTGTATGCCAGAGGTAAAACTGGTTAATATTAAATCTATTATGCCCACACACAGCGAAATGTCAATACAGTGTAGCCATCAGTATGATCATCTAACACGAAAAACCAAAATTTAACAAACCAAGGCGTCTAATACTCTATCTGATATGCACCGAAGTACTGATTTTTAACGTAGATATATAAGGCAGTTACAAAACTTTACTGTTGAAGTTAACAATAAACCTGACCAGTTAGCGCCAAATAAATCTCAAGGTTTTCAGCTGAAGAAGTGACGAAAAAAGTAATGCCTTCCTGCAATGCTATTGCCTACAATCTCCCTGATTGCACACTGCCCACTAAGCTCAGGGATGTTTGCCTCGGAGATTGTGGTATGTTGAACGTCAAGTGCCACGTCACCTGCCTTAGAAAAGATTATCAGATAAATCTGCACGTCTCATCCTGTCTAAATGTAGCCGTTGTAAATATGCTAAATAATTTATTAGTTCGAGTAAAAATATTAGCACATTGATTCCATTTAAGAACATTAAAGTAACTCTGAACCTAAAACCTCGCCAACTTCTTACAAAACAAACATGAAGAGACAGGGTCAAAAGATCGTGTTATTGCAAAAAAACAACCACGGACAACTTAAAAACCTGTTTACGGAGTAAATTAGCCATGTGATGGCACAATCAACCAAACCTTACTAAGTAAAAAACTATTCCTTCAAGAGACATTACACATGATAACGTGAATGAACTTGAATTCATCACACAGAACACTTCTAAGACACCAAGAAACTCTAGCTCTGTGAATGAGGAATTAACAGACGAAATATAGGACATAAAATAAGAAAATAGGTAAACATCAACCCAACTTCTCCATCTCTTCCATTAAAATTGAACAAACTGTCTCTCTGATATCATGTAACCTGCCCCCAACTTTTCTAATTGGCAAGAAAGATAACAGGCAGAATCGTAATCAACCCTTAAACACGCATACGAATGATGATTACCAAAGTGCTGGTCATATCACTCACCCACTGAGGCGTATAACTGTTAATAAGTATGGTAATGATAGACTTTTCGTCCCGCAACCCATTTCTTGACCTTCAGTCAACGACGGCCACCACCCAGCCAGTATACCGAGATACTTCACAGATATCATATACTTTACTGGCTTGTTATTTCATCTCGTTTCATTCACCTTCTTTCCACAAACCATCTCATATGACTTGTTGAATATGTCCCTGATATGATAATCAGAGCTTTTGAGAGAATAGTAGGTCAGAAAATGAATCAGGAATATCCAAATGAAAGCCAAGAGCGGGATATCCAACACCATATTGTTGAGGTACGATATTTCTATGCTCTGTCCGGCTATCATGCGTCTTTTGAGTCGTCCTATAGTTAAAACAAAGGACAATCGATTTCGAGAAAAATTAATGTCAGCCAAACCTAATTAATTAGTCCACTGTCTTTAAAAATGATCAAAAACAAAAGGAAATGTACAATTATGAATGATAAATGTTCCGTTTCATATAAATGTTTGGTCTCGCAGAACTTATAAGTAATCTGAAAGGAAATAGACAGGATGTAGACATCTGGGGCATGAATGTGCATCAGCCTGTTAGAAGTATGATTCATCACCTTACTCGACTAAACACATGATCTTGAGTCTGTGATAACCGCCTTCTATAACCCGTTTCGTAACCGTGGACACAGAAAGTCCCTGCTAATCAGGAATGATCAGAATGTAAAGTCAAAAAAGACGGTAAACCACTCAAAGTTCTGGGATGGAATAGGATGTCCTTTCGCTGTCTGTATTCGTACTGAACATCAGGATCAATCAAGCTTTTTTCTTTTAACTCTACGCCAGGTTTCCGTCCTGACTGAGCTCAGCATAGGACACCCACTTGGCAGACGTACCGCTATAGTCAACCCCCGTCACCTGACATAATCATCAGGACGGGTCGCACATCATATCAAGACTCAAACACTGTAACCTGCACCACTGATTAAAGGAGCAATTGATTGACATTTTGCAAATTAAGTACCCATTGTATGAGTCTCAGATTTCACTAAAATGCTTTGTAATTTTGCGTTCGTATACATTCGATTGGCCCCGCTTGTGTT